CCTGTTTGGTATAGATTTTCATTTTCTACAGTAAATCAATTCTCATTTTCAACCACACATTCTTCAATAAAATAATATTTTCCATCACATCAATATTTTTTTCTTCCTTTTCAACCACACATTTCCCATCATATCACTATTCAAAAATCAATTCTTCCCCCAAAAATCCCTACCAAACACACTCTTAGAAAGATTCTTTCTTGGTAATTCTAAATAAAGAAGACCTTCTAGCTTTTCTAGGAATGGCTCAAAAAATTAATGTTTAGCATAAATAGTTGAAAAACCCTATACGTATAGAGCTACATGGCCTTGTACGTATATCACCCCTCTAAATAAATCATTTCTCGATATTCAGTTCACACGAGTCACTAACAAGACTCCCAACTGAGTGTAATGGTCAGTGTTTATTTATAGAAAGTCCAATGAGCCAGGGTCACCTCAAGGTCCGACCCTCATTTTAAAGGGCCTAAGACAAGGTAGGCAAGCCTTCCACTTTTCACGGGTGGAGACAAACCTGGTGTAAAAGGCGTGCTAGCCTGTGAAATGGCCCATACTAATTGCTTAGTAAGGTGAATCGTACAGTGGTATAAGACTTGGATCTAGAACCTAACCAAATTCGTTTCGAATATATAAACTAGCCATGGTCCAATTTAAACCCAAGCCATTAAAAGGTTTATAGGGGATTGAGTCGAACAATATTCAATTTTTGTCATAATTGTCAACTCCTTACATAATCAAAAAATAAAAAAAGTTATTTACTTGTGTTTAATATTCAACCTACTCTATCCATGGAGGTCAAATTTACTTCTCATGTAAGTCTAGTCTAACACATGATTTTTTTCATAAATAAATCTTAATTCACGACATATACATCATTTGATATCATATTGAATTTGAATTGATGAGAACTACTTCTTGTATGGGCCTTAAAATATGATCTCTGGTCCAAATTTGTGGGGCCACACTCCAAAATTGGCGTGCTGAAATTGAGATGAGATTCTTGGGAATATTGGCATTCCTTAAAAGCGCAAACAGAAAATCATTATTGTTTGGTGAATTTGTTAATTTTGTAAAGAGAACACAGAGAAATTGATTGAAGGGTGCGGGTTTTTGAGGTTGAAGTAGGTTGATGGTCAATTTACATCATTGTCAGCATTGGAGTTGAACTTGAAATGACTAAATATTTTAGTTTATAATCCTCCTGAAAATTCCCTACAAAGCGTGCGAGTCTATCCCAGTGCACGGATACAAAATGAATGAGTTCTTTTCTAATCCAAAATAAATATAATTTTGATACCATGCGAAGTGAGCTCATAGAAATATTTTTTTTAATACACAACTTACTGAAAAACATTTTTAGATATTCATTTCAACTCGATTGAGTCATCTAATTTAAATTATTTCAAAATGTTTTCTTTCTTGATCTATTAACTTCCACTTTGTTAAGCATGTTTAGATAAAAGAACCATATTGTAGGTCTATCGAATATATCAGACATGACAAACTTACATGAATCTCGTTATTTACCGTCCCTCCATTTTATTTTAACTTTTTCCCCATTTCTACTTTTACCTACACAAAGTGCACCTTTTAATTTGGAAGGTCTAGACAATAAATTAACAAGGCAGGTATCCCACCTATCAAGAATCCAAGATTGTTCTTCAAGGTCACATTGTTAAGAAAAAGGCAACCTTGGTGGACTGTTTGGCACCAATTGTTAAATTATAGAAAAGCAAAGGTCTCATCTTTAATGCTTTTCGATTAAAAGTAAGCAGGTATTCTGTATTCATGAATGTAGGCTTGAGAAAGATCTATAATTAAAAGGTTTTTTTTTTCCCCAAGGGCTCAAAAGGAATTCATCTCTCCTTTCATTTTTAAACCAACCCACTAGGTTAAATAATTTTCATATAAATTAATATGGAATTAAGTTTTATAACTGACACCCCTTTTAGGAAAACATATAGGAAGTTTACAATATTATTTATCCATGTTTGGTGGGGATTTAAATCAGATTTTTAATAGATTTTGATAAAAGTTGATAAAATATATAGTTGAAAAGTTGGGAGTCCCATAAAATATGTTGTTAAAATTAATTATTAATTTTGATTTAAATTAAAATTTTAATTATCACCAAATAGGGCCTAGTGTCCCTCTCTTCCATACAATCTTTAACAATTGTTAGTAGATCAATTCATTTTTTAGGAGATGCCATTATAAAAACATGATGGCTTGCTGCGAAATAAACTTGCAAAAAGAAATTATACTATAGTTATTCTATGGACTCTCGTGTCTTGAGTGTCACATAAAAGTTAAACTTGAAAAGGTGAAGGGCCAATGGATTCATCAAATCAATTTGGTTGTACACTCAAACATAACGTATAACATGGTCAGTACGATAAATCGATCGTTATATATAATTATAAAGTTCACATTTTCTTGTGCGAGAGCTCTCAAACCGAGTCTATGCTCAAGGCATGACACAGCAAAAGAATATGCTAGCTAGTTGTCGGACTTCTTAATGGGCTTTGAAAATAGTATATGTGACAAACAACAAATTTGTTAGTCTTTCATTCTGAATTCCATCTAATTTAAGAAAACAATGGACGTTCAAGAAGAACATTCCATAATTAGTAGTAGTAACCCTCTAGGGGTTTCTTCTAGTATAAACTTTTGGCGCAAAAAGTAGGGTAGGAAAAAAAGGCCAATTATTTGTCTTATAAAGACAATAGAGAATATCTCCTTTATATTTAGAGAGTTGAAAGGCATCTCTCATTCATTCTTGTCAACTGTTAACAGACTTTCGAAGAGAAGAAAGAAAGGGACTTGTCACATTTTCATTATTGAATAACACATGTAACATCAATAACAAGTTGATCCCAATACGAGACCTAAGATGCTTCGACAAAATCAGTATAACAGATTAAGGGTGTATTTGTCTCCCATTATTGGGAGAAAAATAGAGTAATGAATAGTATTTTTTTGAGAATGTGTGATTGAAAAGTAAAGTAATTTTATTAGTTTGTTTGTAGAATATTTTAATGGGTAAATGTGTCGCAGGAAATCTTATTGTAGCAAACAATTTTTTGTAATAATGGTAGACAAACAGTGGCTAAGTTAACAAATTAGAGTCGGGTTGGACACTTCTTTATAGATATTATCCAATGGGTTGGTCTAACTAATTAATCAACCACCTCGAAAGTGTGAGACAAACTTATGGATAACGCGTTGAAAGTGTGTAAATGGTGAAGTCATGATCCAGCACCATACCAAACCAATAGATAATATGCTTCAATGAAATCAAAAACCCTTTATTCAGCAAAACGATGTATGCAACTCTTTTAAATGTTGATGTCCAATTAGGTAAACTCCACAAAAATATTATCGCGCTAACATGAAAGTGAGTATCACAAATTAGAAACTAGTCTCTACTAAAAAGCAGTGCAACACTGATGTAGATTTCCGACAAATTGTACCGATCGTCGGAAATTTTCGGTACTTTTTTAGTCTCAATTTACCCATCATGGTTTCACCATTCGACTTTTTCTATCCATGAGAATCCGGCATTTTCGATCGTAAAAGGGGATTCACCGATTAATTTTTCCGTTGTTAAAGTGCATTTTTAGTAGTTAGTTTAAACTCGTGAATTGATTACGACTAGTAGTTATGACATCTACAATTCCCACAACATATTTTCAAATTACATTAGTTGATAATACATATTGACCTAATTTATTCACGAAAATTGACTATTTTAAGTTATTGCATAGCATTACTCAATTGGAAGTGGAACAATTGTTGGACCACGAAATGTAAGTTGTAGTTCTACACCACGTGCTATAAATTTATTCTAGTTCAAAGCATGCTTACTATACAAATAATCTCCAAGATCTTCATATAGTTGATTAACTTTCATTCTAAAGGACTCAATCACAATGAGATAATTCAGTTTGCCACATCCCAAGTACCGACATAGTTCTATGGCCCTATGATTTTTAATGCAATTTCATGCACGAGTTTTCTCCATTTCAGCCATATATTTTTCATGTTTGTAGTTGGTGATCAAGTCAAATTACAGTTAACTACTATAGCTCAAAGATCCACGACCACGAGTAATCATCAAGAGAATTTATTTGCGGATTCCTCATCCAGTCTATTTGGAGGTTTGAACATACTTGCGTGAATTTGGGATGAACATAAACTTGTAAGCTACCAAAAGTGGGGATACTCGTTCAGGTCTTACTGTCAACGAAAAAAGCTGCCCCACCACACGAAGCGAAGAGGTTAAATAAAGCTTATAGCAAAATCAAACTACCCCTTCCTACCCATTTTCAAATGTTATTGGTCAGGTCAATTCCAAGCGGACGACTCATAACCCGTTTTCTTAGAATAATGCTCCTTGTACAATGTTGGGTTACAACCTTTCACAAGAGAGGTGAGCCCACTATTATTTTAATCACGGGCCCACCTTACTTGTGAGAGGTTATAACTCAATGTTGTAATTCATGTGTTGTACATATAGTATTGTTCGTTTTCTTAATACTAACTAGTAGACGAGGTGCGATTCGCCGACTCCCTAATAAACTCACAACAACAATTTTCCATTGTGATAAGGCCAAGAACTATTTTACTTGTACCTATGCATTATTAATCTGCATTTATATACAGAATATTATAAAGTAACAGACAATTAAATTCAGATACAGAGAGAAAGTGACGGGTGGTGGGAAGATGACACTACTCTCTTATTACCCAGCCCAAGAATAGCTGGATAAGGACGTAATCTGCTGCATTCACTGCATTTTGCAAAAGCAAAGGTTGTTTCTTATTATTTTTGGTTGTATATAACCCACACCCTTTACCCCATAAAATCTCACATCATTACACCGCTTCATAAACAAACCTCTGCACTTTCAAGAAAATTGTATTGCATTTCTTGAAGTGTCTTTTCTTTGTCTGAAGAACTAGACAGTGATTCAATTTCCTTAATTCTTTGTGAAGACATGAATAGAATTCTGCATTTGGTTTTCGGTGTTTTTGGTATTGTTTTCCAGTTCCATTTATCTTTGTTTCTAGTAGATACAGCGACGACCCGAATGGAGCAAGACATCGAGTTTAAATTTATCGAGAATAAGACTTTGTTGTTATATGTATCTTTCTTTGATTCTTTAAGAGGAATTAATCGAATCTGTTTTTATGAACAGGAAATGCTACTGGATTGTTTCTCTTCTTGGCTCCAACGTAAGTATTCTCGACCCCACGCCATCGCTAAGGGTGGGCATGTTACACGTAAGAACCATGTGCAAGTGATGGTTCCCATCCAAATTTAACAAGAACCAAAATGAACTCTTAGCTCGGTCTGGTTCAATTCGATTATGAGGAAAAATCTCCCTACTCACCACCATCACCATGCACACCTTCCTTTAAAAATGAAAAAGAAAAGAAAACTTGCCCATGTGAACATCTTTTACTAGAAATTTATTTTCAGGTATTTATGAGTCTTTAATCAAAAAAATTCTTGTTATTCATTTTTTCTTAATTTTTACAAATTTGTTGCAGGATTACATTCAAGAGGATAGTCATGAAAAGATCGACGGAACAATTCTCAGGCATACCCTATGTCATGACATTGCTCAACTGCTTGCTTTCTGCATGGTACTTAATTTATATAAATAATCATAAAACATGTTGCGTCTCGAAATTCTATCTTAAAAGTCAACTCCAAGTGAGTGTATGTTGATTATGGTTTTCATTTAAGAGAAGTGGGACTGTCGCCGGCTCATGTTTATGACACGTAAATTACTTTGATCCATACATTTATAGACTCACAAGTAGTATTTACTCATCTGCTACTTTTTTATATCTAATTATTATTAAATAATATATAAACATTTTCTAAACATGCTTTTAATACATCCAGTAAGATGCTTACTCGTTGTATTGAACACCAACATCATTTAAGTTATCATACTATTGAGTCATGAGATTCATTTTCAAAAGTCGACTTTTTTAAGAGGAGAAGCCTAATTGACTAAACCCTTGAATGTGTTATTACTCGATTTTTAATTTTTTATGTTCGAATGATTGATTTAAACAGGTATGGTCTCCCATTTATATCACCAAACAACATATTGGTGTCAATAATCAATGGCACTGGTGCAGCAATTGAATCAGTTTATGTACTCATTTTTCTAATATTTGCACCCAAGAAAGAGAAGGCCAAGATATTTGGACTACTTGTGGTCATTCTTGCAGTATTTTCAGTTGTGGCATGCGTTTCTGTCTTTGCCATCCATGACTTGCACACAAGGAAGCTTATTTGTGGATTTGCCGCTACAGTATTCTCTATCTTAATGTACGCTTCACCTCTATCAGTCATGGTAAGATATTTACACTTTATAAGTAGTGTGTTAGTACGGTAAATTTAACTAGACTAGACTGATTGAAAGTGAGAATAGAGTGACATATTTTGTTTATTTGCTGGTCTAATCGCGTCTAGTACTCTAGCGTACAAAATATACCATAACATTAGTTAAATGATGAAAATGTTAATTTTGTTGACATCCTACTCAAATTTGAGCATCAAATGGACAAATACATACAATTTGGAGCTTGGTTAACCTTCTTTACCATCGGCTCAAGTCTTTGACCAACTCACTAGAACTCAAAAGTTTGAAATCTTTGGTTAACTTACACTCGAAACTAAAAGTTTGAGTTCAGTTGCACGAAGATCTACAAAACATGAGCTTGTTTAGCCTATTCGACGCTTGGGCATAGGCTTTTTGGTCGATTTGATGGTTGCAACACAAATTCAACGTCAACAAAATTGGTATTGGCTTTTTGGACAATTATTGTTAATAGTTAGATTATTGATGTAAGTTTACATGTGCAGAGGATGGTTATTAAGACAAAGAGTGTGGAGTTCATGCCCTTCTTCTTGTCCCTCTTTGTTTTCTTATGTGGTACTTCATGGTTTATCTACGGACTCATCGGGAAGGACCCTTTTCTTGCGGTATTAATTGCCATCGAATTTTCTCATTTGTCTTTCTTTTGTTTACCGGTTTAAGTTTTTAGACGACGTGATTCAAGAAAAATGAGGATATAATTAATTGAGATTAACTATGATGATGCAGGTGCCAAATGGTTTTGGATGTGGATTAGGAGCAATGCAGCTAATATTGTACTTCATTTATCGTGGCAACAAAGGTGAAACCAAGAAACCTAACAAGGATGAATCTCTGGAAATGGGCCTGAGCAAGCCCAATCTATAGAATGTTCATAATGGTTTGATCCTTAATTTCTTGTTTTCGGAATTGGTAAATGTATTTTATTTGAGGAATATAAATGAATTTTAATCATCAAAATCACTGTGGTGAAGTGATAGATTTGGTAAAGACAACACAAATGAAATTGATGTCCAACACGGTTTTCGAGGTTGGGATAGGTTGATATATATGGTTCCTAACTCGGATAAGCTATACATATAGAATACATGATAACTCGGATAAGCTATACGTGATTGGCTAAACTTAAAAGTTACTTTTTTAATCACTTGCAATTAACAAAAATATTAATTTTGATAATAAGCTAAATGTTACTTTCAAAATAAACAATTTACAATGTTTTCAATTTTGATAAATAAAAGAATTATCTTTTTAAAGTTTAAGTATTCACTTCTATATAAATTAGGTATAGGTAAATTTTTAAACTTGGCAAACATGCAATAAATTTGATGTGATTGTCTAGAAATCTTAAATAACTATAAACTTGGCAAATATATTTATAAAGTCGAACAATTTGATCGAGTCTCAAACTAAGCAAGTCCAATCTAACTAGATTACATCGTTAAATGCAAGTGCCTTGACTATGAAATTAAAACATACTTGCTAACTCTGGTAAATTAGCTATTGTGCCACTAGAGTTGATTAGATTGAGACACGCTCTGGGAAACATTGCAACGTGAGCGAGCTACAGACTACAGTCAAATTCGACGTGTGAAGTTATCTCCGTTGTGCAATACTATGGTGACATAGCATGTAAAGAATGAAATATATGCGTGACCTATTCGACAGTATGTGATCGAAATGCACCAAACCAAGTCATAAATCCTAGCCTTTGGAAAGAAATGACCAGCCCGAAATTTTTGTTCTATGATGCATTATTGATTCTCAATAATCGAAACAAAGGACAAGTCGCCAACGAATTGAAATTAAAAATGTATCCTAAGTTGAGGGAAGACAAGCTAGAAAACAAATAACATTAGACTTAGCACGGTTAAGAGCTTAGGGACTGATTTCCATTCTTATCTTGCTGTTGAGACAAGAAAGCACGCAAACTAGCAAAGTCAAGCAGTCAAGTGGGTTGACGATTTCAATTCCGCTTTTGCACATAGGATTAAAAGGGTAAAAAAATTAGTTCATCATAGTGCCTTTCAAGACTTCGTTGATTATATTCTTTTTGAACGAAAATGACAATTAAGTTGAAGAACGATGGAAAGTTTTAAAGATTTTTATGGAGTTAAAAAAAGGCCAATAGCAAAATCAATGTTATTTAATCTGCTAATCCATCAATTAAAGACAGGATTTTTATTATTCAGATTTCACTCAAAAAATGGCGGCCTCGACAATATCTGCGTGATTCCATGCTATCATCGTGAATTATTTATAAAACAAACAGGTCGATGTTACTTCGACCAGAACTCCACGCAAATATATAAAAAAATAAATAATATTAAAATAGAACCCAAGCAAATTCAATAATATTTAGCATCACTACATGTATATAAAAGTTGACACACTGTTGAGTTGACAGATTTTGATGTATTGATTTTAACATCACCTTTTTCAATGAATCCAACAATACATTGAATGATATCGGCGTTCGTGATTCATTGATCTAAATCGAACCCTATAAATCAAGATGAATGAGTTGGCAATAGGAAATGCTTGCATCAATTTGCCAGTCTCTATGCATGCCCCCATCTGACAATTTTAATTTTGAAGCACGCCAAGGGCAATCTTGTCATTTTGATTACACTAACGTAGCCCCTCTGAGCATTATTCATCATTGCATATGATTTAGTTGACAAAGATACGCCCTCGATTAGTTTCTAAATATCTAAATCTTTCTTGGAAATGTAATAAGGATAAGGAATCACATCGGTACAAGAAATTTTATTTTTAGCCTATTTGATTGTAAAGGTGAAAAATGGATGGAAAGAAAATAAATTTTAAGGACAATAATTTTCTAGAAATTGTTTTGTAGAGAATTGTTAGTTAAGTGTGTTTGATTAGTATAATTTTCCACCTGAAAAATGTTGAAAGTTTGGTGTCTGTTTGACTTTATTTTTCATGAAAATTGTCAACTAAAGTGATAATTTTTTTACTATTGGGTTTAGAATTTGTTCCAATTGCTAAAAAAATTAATTTTTTTTAAATTATCATACCGAATACCATTCGTTTGACTTTATTTTACATGAAAATTGTCAATAAAAATGATAAATCTTTTTACCTTGTATCTAGTATCTTTTTAAAATGAAAAAA